CCCTGCTCAGGCAGGAAACCCTATACCATTTCAGACAAATGGCTGTCCAGTCTCTTCTTAAAAACTTCCAGTGTTGCAGCATTCACCGCTTCTGGAGGCAGGTTGTTCCACTGGTTAATTGTTCTCACTGTCAGGAAGTTTCTCCTTAATTCCAGGTTGCTTCTCTCTTTGATTGGTTTCCATCCATCGTTTCTTGTCTTGCCTTCTGGTGCTTTGGAAAATAAGTTGATCCCCCCTCTTCTTTGTAAACATAGAGATGGTCTTTGGGCGGCAGCATGTTGTAGGGACATAGCTGGTGTCGTGGGAAACTTCCTGAACATCTATCAAATCACAATCTTATTCGCTTGGGCTTTGCACATTATGGGAATGGAGCCCATTGCAGTGGGTGGCTTGTTTTGGGATTGGCATCTGGTATAAAGTCCTTCTGCACGGAGAAAAGTAGAGTGAGGCTGTTAAAAAACAAACTTTGATGTTTTCTTTCACTGCAAGGAAAAAGTCCCAACGATGCTTTTTCATAAGGCAATAGAATGGAATAGAATGGAATAAGAAATACAATAGAATGGAATGGAATAAGAATCAAATGGAATGGAATAAGAATGGAATAAGAAATAATAATAGAATAGAATGGAATGGAATGGAATAAGAAATAATAGAATAGAATAGAATAGAATAGAATAGAATAGAATAGAATAGAATAGAATAGAATAGATCTGGAAGGGACCTTGGAGGTCTTCTAGTCCAGCCCCTCGCTCAGGCAGGAGAACTATACCAACTCAGACAAATGACTGTCTAGTCTCTTCTTAGAAACCTCCAGTGATGGAGCGCCCACGATTTCTGGTGGCAAGCTGTTCCACTGGTTAATTGTCCTCACTGTCAAGAGGTTTCTCCTTAATTCCAGGTTGCTTCTCTGTTTGGTCAGTTTCCAACCATTGTTTCTTGTCCTGCCTTCTGGTGCTTTGGAGAATAATTTGACCCCCCCTCTTCTTTGTAGCAGCCCCTCAAATACTGGAAGACTGCTATCATGTCACCCCTATTTCTTCTTTTTTTTAGCCAAACCGAAGTCCTGCAGCCGTTCTTCGTATGTTTTAGTCTCCAGGTCTTGGATCATCTTAGTTGCTCTTCTCTGAACTTTTTCCTTGTTCCTGAACTTTTTCAGCTCAGAGCTGAAGAAGCTTCTTGGATGAGAAGCGAAATGTCTTCAAAGGAAAAACAAGAAAGTCTAGATGCCTTGTGAAAAAGCATCTTTGGGACAGCCGTGACCTGGATGACTGAGAATCTCCACAGACATGCAAGAAAAGAGAAATCCAAGCTCTCCTCAGTCAATCTGGAGGCTGAAACATATAAGGAACGGTTGCTGGAATTGGGTATGTCTAGTTCAGGGGTAGGCAACCTTGGCTCTTTTATGACTCGTGGACTTCAATTCCCAGAATTCCTGAGCCAGCTATGCTGGCTCAGGAATTCTGGGAGTTGAAGTCCACGAGTCATGAAAGAGCCAAGGTTGCCTACCCCTGGTCTAGTTTAATAAAGAGAAGGACGAGGGGCGACATGATAGCAGCCTTCCAATATCTCAGGGGCTGGCCCAAAGAAGAGGAAGTCAAGCTATTCTCCAAAGCGCCGGAACGCAGGACAAGATGCGACAGATGGAAACTAATCAAGGAGAGAAGCAACCTAGAACTAAGGAGAAACTTCCTGACAGTGAGAACAATTAACCAGTGGAACAACCTGTCTCCAGAAGCGGTGAATGCTCCAACATTGGAAGTTTTTAAGAAGAGACTGGACAGCCATTTGTCTGAAATGGTATAGGGTTTCCTGCCTGAGCAGGGGGGTTGGACTGGATGACCTTCAAGGTCCCTTCCACCACCACCACCACCATCATCATCATCATCATCATCATCATCATCATCATCATCATCATCATTATTATTATTATTTGACAGAGAAACACGAAAATCTGTTTCTTCCCAATACAGGTAGTCCTTAACGTATGACCAAAATTTCTGTGGCGAAGCGAGATAGTTGTTAAGTTAGTTTTGTCCCACTTTACGACCTTCCTTGCCATGGTTGTTAAGTGAATCACTGCCGTTGTTAAGTTAGTCACATGGTTGTTAAATGAACCTGGCTTCCCCATTGACTTTGCTTGTCAGAAGGTTGCAAAAGGGAATCACGTGATCCCCAGGACACCACAACTGTCATAAATACATGCTAGTTGTCAAGCATCTGAATTCCGGTTTTGTGACCATCGAGATGCTGCAATGGTCGTAAAAAATGAAAAACGGTCATGTCACATTTTTTCAGTGGTGTTTTAACTTCGAATGGTCAGTAAATGAATGGCTGTAAGTCAAGGACTACCTGTAATTCTTCCCGACTGACACCAAATTATCTTTACTTTCCTCATAATTATTCATAATGGACTGGAGTAATAATAATAATAATAATAATAATAATAATAATAATAATAATAATAATAATAATAATAATTATTATTATTATTATTATTATTATTATTATTATTATTATTATTATTATTATTATTATTATTATTATTATTATTATTATTATAAAGTTGTAAGGGACCTTGGAGGTCATTTAGTCCAACCCCCTGCTCAGGCAGGAAACCCTATACCATTTCGGACAAATGGCTGTCCAGTCTCTTCTTAAAAACTTCCAATGTTGGAGCATTCACCACTTCTGGAGGCAGGGTGTTCCATTGGTTAATTGTTCTAACTGCCAGGAAGTTTCTCCTTAGTTCCAGGTTGCTTCTCTCCTTGATTAGTTTCCATCCGTTGCTTCTTGTCCTGCCTTCAGGTGCTTTGGAGAATAGCTTGACTCCCTCTTCTTTGGGGCAGCCCTTGAGACACTGGAACACTGCTATCATGTCACCCCTCGTCCTTCTCTTCATTAAACTAGACATACCCAATTCCAGCAACCTTTCCTTATATGTTTGAAGTCAGGCTGATAGGTCTGTAATTTCCTGGATCTATTTTTTTCCCCTTCATAATGGACGAGAACAGGGATCTCCAACCTGTGGTATGCAGCTCGGTACCGGGCCGTGGCCTATTAGCCACCAGGCAGCGGGAATAGCTGGCGGGTACGGACACAAGCACACCCACTCATACTAGCTAGCGTCACCACACGGGCACTAGTGGCCCGCTTGTGCATACACGCAGGCACCAATGCCGCCACCAGAGTCGCTGCGGGTGTGTGCAGCCCACTTGTGCATGCATGCCGGTGCTAGTGCCACCACCGTGCACGTGCCTGTTTGTGAATGCACGCACGCACGCACACACACACACACACATTTCTCTGTTCCTCTGTTTTCCTCCAGGCTGCCAACCCGGAAAGGTTTCGGGAGTTCTGGACTGGAAGACCTCCAAGGTCCCTTCCAACACTGTTGTCATATTCTATTCTTTTTTTTTTCTGCCATTACCTCCCTGGCTTTTTAAAGAATCAAAGCCACAACCTGTGTGGGAATGTCTAGCAATGACTTTTGTGTTGCACTCGAATGTAGCCGCTGAAGCATCTTGTGTTCCTTCTTTTCATGTAATTCAGGTCGTATGAAGGAAAAGGTATTTGGAGAAGCAGGAGATCTGTTGGCCTCATTTGGATCCGTGCTAGAGAGGAAAAAAAATGGAGGAACAATACCCGGAAGATCAAGGAGCTGAAAAAGGTGGGGAGACCTGGGCAAGAACCGGGCAGAAGATCCTGGAGAAGGAAAGCGTCAGTTCAGAGGTCCAGTGTTGGCACTTCAGGAATGAACACTACCAGGAGTCTAAGGGTCCGCGCGAGCTTTGCAGCCACCTCCACCATCTTTGCTGTCAGTGGCTGCAGCCAGAAAGACGCACAAAGGGTCAGATGTTGGACCTAGTGATCCTGGAGCAGCTCCTGGCCCTTCTGCCCCTGCAGATGGAGAGCTGGGTCCGGGAGTGTGGAGCAGACACTAGTTCCCAGGCTGTGGCCCTAGCAGAAGGCTTCCTCTTAAGCCAGGCAGAGGAGGAGAAGCAGGAAGAACTACAGGTGAGAGAAAACTTCATCTTTTCAGCTTTCAGGCATGTTCAGTTCATGAAGTGTACGGATATACCTTATGTTTCTGAGCATAAGTAATATGAGATGTTTACCAAGTAGGTTGGCTTGATCACTCAACAGTGAGACACTGGTGCAG